GTTCTGCTGCCTTTCGTGCTTCTCGTCTTGCTTTTTTTCTCTTCCGGCGCCCTCTCGCTCTTTTTTTCTCGGGGTCGGGGCTCCTCTGTGGGAGAGGGGCGGCGCCACCGTCAGCGGAGAGAAGAAGACGACGGAGGCGAGGGGCGCCTTGCCGCCGCCGGAGCCGGACAGCTGAGGCGCGAGGGCGCGGACCGAGAGCGAGAGGGCGCCGGCGCGGCTGCGAAGGAGGGCGAGGAGGGCGAGCGGGTGGTGCGGCGGGAGGCCGGTGGGAAGCGGCAGCAGCGCCGCCCACATCGCCAGCTGGTCGTCGCTTGCCGTCGCCGCCGCGCTGCTGACTGCTCCAGTGGCGGCCGGCTTTTGGGCGGCGGGCATGGTGGCAGAGCAGCGGATGATGGAGGCGGACCCGTCGACGCCGACCGCGGCGACGGCGTCACGTAGCGCAGGGGACTGCAGGATGACGAGGATGGGTGCCTCGAACGCCAGGCCACCTCCGCCGCTCACCTCAGCCTGGGCCTCGCCCCAACCAAAGAGCGACGAGCGGTCGCGGACTGCGAGGTAGCAGCGCGACGAGGCGTGGGCGATGGCGGCGTGGCTTAACCGCACCTGAGTGAGGAGGAGGCGAGCGGGTGGGCGCTGACGTGCGGTCGCGGCTGGACGGCGCGGCTGCACGCCTCGGCGGGCAACGACCAGGCGGTGATGCGAGCGCGGCTGACGACGTTGTAGACGGCGACACCCTGCGCCGCTTGCGTCACGACGAGTTCGTCAGGGTTGAGGCCGGCCGACACGCCAACCACTCGCGTGGGCGACGAGAGGATGCGGACCGGCGTCCCCAGGGTGGGGCGCATGCAGCGTGCCCACGACGCTGTAAACCTGGTACGTAGCTGGAGACGAGGTCGGCGCCAGGACAATGTCAAAGGCGCCGATGCCGACTTAGATTTGGCGTGGGGACCGAGCTGGCGGCGCGGCGCCGCAGGGCCGGGGCACTGGCCACGGCCTCGCCGACCACTAGAAGGCGGCCCACCCACTACGCGCACTAATTTAGTGGGCGGGGTGGCGAGTCACACTCACCCACTAGCCCGCTCCCCGCTCGCCGGCGGCCCACTCACTACGCGCACTATCTTAGTGCGCGGGGTGGCAGGAGTCACCCACTAGCCCGCTCGCCGGCGGCCCACTGACTACGCGCACGAAGCACTGCGACGAATGCGGCACCGGCGACGCATGGCAGGCTGGTCATGACGCAGTCATAAGGGTGCTGTGTGCCGTCGGAGTGAGGTGTCAGTGATAATCAGAGCTCCGGTAAGCTATGAGACACCCCATTGGCGCGGCTCGACCTCTTTGAGTCACTGCCTTACCGGCGGTTTGGCTGTAGAGCCTCTACAACAAACCCTCTACAGCAAAAAATCGCGCTCTACAGCGCTCTACAACGCACGCAGTTCGTCACGCGCCGGATGTAGAGCTCTACAGCTCTCTACAGCTCTACAGCTCTACAGCTCTACAGCGCTCTACACTCTACATCCTCTACACCCTCCCTCAGCGGCCTCAGCCTCGATCCTGGAACGATATTCGCCGGTGAGCGGTGTGACGGCGGGGCCTGATGAGAGAGGGAGAGAAAGATTTGATGTTCGGTTTGAACTTCTATGGACTGATGTTTTTCTTTTTTCTTCTTTCACCTCGGATGGCGACCCACAATCCCGGAGCCACGGGGCACCAATCCCGAAAACCACACAAATCCCCTGAAAGGATCCCGGCCTTTTTGACAATCAGTTCACTCCGGCCACGCGATCCCCAAAATCTTGTTGGCCGCGGTGGTGCGCAGCAGGCCCTCCCTGCCCCCATCCCCAGCTCTCCCCGCCCCACGCGCCACGGCCTTCTCAGGCGCTGATCCTGACCTTCTCAGGCGCTGATCCCGCTCCATCACCGCCTGGCTTTGCACCGGCGACCCATGCCAAAGGAGAATGCGGTCTGATTCGAACCACGGCCTTCTCAGGCGCTGATCCTGCTGGTCAACGCCTGGCTTTGCACCGGCGACCCAAAGGAGAACGTTTGGTTCCCGCCCTCGCACGCGGCCCACACCGCAGGGCACTTCTTCTTGACGCACTTCCGGGCTGGCATGAGGTCTTGGTTGAAGTCAGAGTATGAGTAGTAGAGGCCTTCCTGCGTCGCACAGATGTCTGTGGCATCGCAGTCGATGTTGATCGCGTCCGTGCAGCCCTCGCCTCTTATCCAGGAGGCTGTCGCCCACTTGCAGATGCACCAAGTCGGATGACTCGTTGGGCACCGCAAGTCATTGCCGTTGGGACTCAACGAGTAGCCTCCCCGAGTGTTGCACCAGGAGTGCTGGCCCGTGAAGCGCCAGAACGATGTGTCCGGTAGCCCAATCTCGGCGCAAACCCGGTGGGTGGAATCGTGGCTGCACTTTTTGTCACCTCTCGTGTCGCCCGCACACACCGTTTGTGAATTTTGTTGCGGGTTGCCCATGATGGCGTGACCCTCTCTGTTGTGCATGTACACACCAACGACGAGGAGCACCCCCCCCGCGCCTGCAAGGGTCCGAGGGCGCAGCAACCTGGGTTGCGGAGTCTCCATGAACGAAGTGTTGACGAACGATCCGAATTTCCGATAGGAAGTGCGTGCGTCCCCAGACATTCCAAGAAGGTTCAGCACTCGGCTGATGGCATTCACGGACTTTGAGAGAATTTTACAACGAAGCTCCCTCGCACGACACTGTGAGAGAAAACAACTCAGAGGGTACCGTGACTCGGGGGGCCTACACGAATATGGTGTGATGTTGATTGTTGTGTAGAAGAGGGAGGGGGGCGCGTTGCCGTTGGGGTTGAACCCAAAAAGAGGGCAAAGGACGGATTGCGGTGAAGGACCGCAGGTTAGGGACCGATCGCGCGCACGGTGGTGCCACTAAACGTATGCTACAAGTACGGCCCTTGAGTAGAAAAAGTACGTGGCGGCCAGGCCGAGAGCGCGAGTGCGGAGTGGGGCTGGGGGCATGCGAGGCCGAGAGGGGCCACTCGACCTCTCGAGGGCGCAGGGGGCGGCGGCGCGTTGTGTTGTGGAAGACCGGAAAAACCATGACAGGGTGAGTGGAGTACACCGTCGTCCGTACCCCTTACCGGACACACACATGCGATGGCACATCGCTCTCGGGCCCACAGGCCTGGATCCTCGCACACCCGCCGCCCCTGCGGCCGCGTGCGCCTCGTCGGTCGTCGCCCCGGCCGGGAGAGAAAGGGGAGTGACGGTTTGGGACGGCGACAGACGAGTTACTGATTTTGTGAGCTGTGAGCTGTGATCTGTGTGACGTGTGGTGAGGTCTGAGGATCCGCCCGCAGGGGCACACAATCACATTTTGTGTATATTAGAGCTATTACCGGGGTGTTGCCTGGTGTGCCGAACCTGTCGGACCTTAAGACAGCATTGTAGATCCCTGGGCGAGGGTCGTTTAAGAAAAAAAACACGAGTAAGACGAAAATCTTGTTCTTGACCGGTCGTGCGTCGCCAACCCGACTGCGCCACGACTGACTCGCAGCGGCCAGCTCCCGTCTCTGCGTCTCGCTGGTCGCTCTCGAGTACCAGCTTTCACTGGGCATCACGATCCGCAATCAGCTCGCGCCCGCCCGGCGTGTGTGCGGCTGGAGGGCGGCCAGGCCGACGAGCAGCGCCTCCTCGGTCCGGATCGTGCGAGAGCCCTGCCCGGGGCAGAGGTTGAGGTAGAGGTCGAAGAGCGCCTGCTCGCGCGACGCGGAAGGGCTGACGAGCGTGCGTGGACGCGAGGGGCCGGCCGAGGCGGCGCGCCGAGGTTTCGATTCCATGCGCGGCGAGCTCCGGGTGCGCCTCGACGACGGGCTCGAGGCCTGGCGAGGTGATGATGGCGAGGTGATGATGGCGAGGTGATGATGGCGAGGTGATGATGGCGAGGTGATGATGGCGAGGTGATGATGGCGAGGTGATGATGGCGAGGTGATGATGGCGAGGTGATGATGGCGAGGTGATGATGGCGAGGTGATGATGGCGGGGCGATGATGGCGGGGCGATGATGGCGGGGCGATGGCGGGGCGCTCGGGCACGGCGGGGGTAGGTGCGGGCTGGGGTGAGGGAGGAGGGTGAAGGGTAGGCGGTGAGGCGGGCGGCTCGCCCTCAACGCCGCCAAAGACGATGAGCAAGTGCTTGAAGGCGGGAAGCCTGCGGCGGGCGGCTGCTGCGCGTCGGGACGCGGCGGCGGGCGGCGCTTGGCGGTCTGAGGCGGGCGGCGGTCTGGGCTTCACCGGAAGCCCTCCCCCTGCAGCCAGTCCGAGTCGCCCTTGTCCGAGGTTCCGAGCGACAGGTCGTACCCGCCACCAAAGGGGCACTCGGACCAGACGGAGGGCAGGTCCTTGGCGAGCCGGACCGAGAAGCCCCAGTGCAGCCCCAGCTTCTCGCGCGGCTCGCGCGGAGGCACCACCGCCGCCGGCTCGCCCGGCCGCGACGGCATCCGCACCGTCACCCGCGTCCCCGCGGGCAGCCGGCGGTCCACACTCACCTCCTTGGGCAGCCCGACAATCGCACCCGAGCGGCCGTCCTTGGAGCCGCCCTTCTCCGAGATGAGGCCTGCGCGGCGAGGCGCGGCCGCGGCGTGAGGCAGGGCGGACAGCGGCCGCCAAAGCGGCGGGGTCGGGCGCGGCGGCGGCGGCGGCGTGGCGCCTTCGCGGTAGGCGCACTGCTCCGTCGCGCGCGGGTGGTTGGCTGCATCGAGCGGCGCGAGCAGTCCGACGCAGCGGAGGTCGGGGTGCATCGGGAAGATGGCCTTTCGCAGGTACTGCGGGCACTCGAGGTACTGCAGCAGCCGCGCCATAAAGACCGAGCCGTCTGTGCGCTGCGGAGCCGCGGGCGACGCGCCGTCGCTGGAAAAGACGACAATCTCGTCGACGTTGAAGATGGTGGCCGCGCGAGCGACCTGGCCGACCAGGTGGCTGCGCAGCTCCTGCGTCTGCGCGTTGTCGACGATCGAGCCGGGCAGCGCGAGCGACACGGTCCACGCCCGGCCGGAGGAGGAGGCGGCGGGAGCGGCGGCGGGAGGAGGAGCGGCGGCGCTGGCGGCGGCGGGAGCGCCCTTCGGCTTGGGCGTCCGCTCGGCCAGCCGCCGCTTCTTCAAGACCTTGTCCGTCGCGGAGGACTTCATGGCCGTTGAACGACGGCGAGTGAGCGTTGCGCGAGTGTTGCAGCAGAGGAGTGGGGCTCGTGCGCACTCACCCGTCGAAGAAGAATTTTCGCGGCAGCAATTTTTTTAGCGCGAGACGATCGCTGCGAAACTTCTTTTCGGTTCTCTCGCAAACAATGGCAAACAATTGCAAAAAAATTCCGTAAGACCAGCTCGCTGTGGATCACAGCCAGGTCGAAGCTCGTGTCGTCGGGACCTTTGCTGGTTGGTGCTAGACATCTTGGCTGCCAGACATGTCTCAGCGCCTCGCCGACCGCTTCGCCGACTGCCGCGCGGCGAACCGCACCGCCTTTGTGGCGTTCGTCACCGCTGGCTACCCGACCCTCGACGCCACCGTCCCTGCGCTCCTCGAGCTCGAGAGGAGCGGCGCGGACGTGATCGAGCTAGGCGTGCCATTTAGCGACCCGATGGCCGACGGCTCGACCATCGAGGCGGCGAGCGTGGTCGCCATCAAAAACGGCGTCGTCTACTCGGACGTGCTCAAGTACGCCGCCGAGGCCCGCCGGCAGGGCCTCACCGTGCCTCTGCTGCTGATGGGTTACTACAACTCGTTCCTTGCGGCGGGCGTGGACGAGACGTGCGCCGAGGCGGCGGCGGCCGGCGTCGACGGCTTCATCATCGTGGACCTGCCGGTCGAGGAGTCGTGGCGCATCATGTCTCCCGCCGCCGCGCGGCACAACCTGTCCCTCGTCCCTCTGGCGGCGCCGACCTCCGGGCCGGAGCGGATCGCGCAGGCGGCCGAGGCGGCGCTCAACCCGATCCCGGGGATGGTGTACGTCGTCTCGCTCCTCGGCGTCACCGGCGCGCGCGACCAGGAGGCCGCCGCCGCCAAGGCGGAGCGGCTCGCCGAGTGCAAGGCGGTGGTCGAGTCGATTCGCGACGCAGCGGAGGCGAGGCCTCCTCGCGACCCCTGCCACGCCGAGCCCCGCGCCGGCCCGCTCCCGCGCCTCCCACGCCCCACGCGCCTCGCCTTGCCGCCCCTCCCCTCCCCACGCCGCGTCGCCCCCGCTCCTCCCGCCTCCCCGCTCCTCCCGCCTCCGCTCCTCCAGCCCCGCCCTCGCCACCGCCCTGCAGAAGCTCGGCGCCAAGCGGACGGACCTGCCCATCGTCGTCGGCTTCGGAATCACGAAGCGGGCGCACGTCGAAGAGTTCGGCGCCTTCGCGGACGGCTGCGTCGTCGGCTCGAAGATCGTGCAGGAGATTGGCGCGGGCGGCATCGCGGCGGCCGGATCCCTCGTGCGCGAGCTGAGTGGCGGTGCGGAATCATCCTCCACCCTCCGCCCTCCGCCCTCCACCCTCCGCCCTCCGCCGCCTCCGTCGCCTCCTCCTCCGTCGCCGCCTCCTCCGTCGCGTCCACCACCTCCGCCTCTCACTCGACCCGCGGCCTCTGCACCGAGGGCCGGCGCCTCACACCCCTCCCCCTCCCCACACCCCTCCCCCTCCCCACACCCACACCCCTCCCCACACCCAGACCCCTCCCCACACCCCTGCCCTTCCCCCTCCCCGCCGCCGCCAGGCCCGCTCGCCGCCGTCGGGCAAAAGGCGGCGTTTGCGAAGGCGCAAAAGAGCGAGGAGCAGCTGGCGGCGCAGAAGAAGCACGCCGACAAGTGGAACTTTGGCGAGTCCGTCTTTGGAGGGTGAGCGAACCCCTCCCCGACCTCCCTCGCCTGCCGGGCCGCCGTCCCTGAGCCCCGTCCCCCACCGCCCCGCTGCGAAGGCGCTTCATCCCCGAGACGCTGATGGTGGCGCACAAGGAGCTCGAGGCGGCGTGGAACCACTGGCGCAACGACCCCGAGTTCAAGGCTGAGCTCGCCACGCTGCGGCGCGACTTCATCGGCGGCCCGACGCCGCTCTACCACGCAAAGAGGCTGACGGCGCTGGTGGGCGGCGCGCAGATCTGGATGAAGTGCGCGCGCCGCAGCGAGCTTTCTCCCCAGTGCCGCGCACCAAGTCCCGTCACGCCCCGCCTCCTGCCCAAGGCGCGAGGAGCTGGCCCACACCGGGGCGCACAAGATCAACAACGCGGTCGGACAGGCGCCACAGCCCCGCCTCGCCCGCCTCGCCCGCCTCCCTCCCGCGTCCCTACCGCCGCCCAGCCCGCCCGCCCGCCCGCCCGCCCGCCCGCCCGCCTACCCGCTTGCCCGCTTGCCCGTGCCCCGCAGGCGCTCCTCGCGATCAAGCTCGGCAAGAAGCGCATCATCGCAGAGACGGGCGCCGGGCAGCACGGCGTCGCCACCGCCGCCGCGTGCGCGCTGCTCGGGCTCGAGTGCATCGTCTACATGGGCGCGGTCGACTGCGAGCGGCAGAAGCTCAACTGCTTCCGCATGACCGAGATGGGCGCCAAGGTGGTCCCTGTCCAGTCGGGCTCGCGCACCCTCAAGGATGCGGTCAACGAGGCGCTGCGTGACTGGGTCACAAACATCCGGACGACGCACTACATCATCGGCTCCGCGGTGGGGCCGCACCCCTTCCCCGACATCGTGCGCGACCTGCAGTCGGTCATCGGCAACGAGGCGCGCGCGCAGATGCTCAACCAGACCTCGGGCGAGCACGGCCACGTCACCTTCTCCAACGGGCCCGGCCGGCTGCCCGACGTGGTCGTCGCCTGCGTCGGCGGCGGCTCCAACGCGATTGGCATGTTCACCGCCTTCCTCGGCGACACGCACCCGTCCAAGGAGCCGGCGCAGGGCCACGTGCGCATCGTCGGCGTCGAGGCTGGCGGCGAGCACGGCCCGTGGCTGCCGGACGGGACGGAGACGGACAAGCACGCGGCGACGCTCACCAACGGCGTCGTCGGCGTGCTGCACGGCTCGCGCACCTTCCTGCTGCAGACGCCGGACGGGCAGATCAAGGAGACGCACTCCATCTCCGCCGGCCTCGACTACCCGGGCGTCGGGCCGCAGCACGCGCAGCTCAAGGCGTCGGGCCGCGTCGAGTACAAGTTCGCCACCGACTCGCAGGCCCTGGACGCGCAGCGGCTCGTCTCGCGCAAGGAGGGGATCCTGCCCGCGCTCGAGCCGTCGCACGCGATGCACACCACGATGGAGCTCGCAAAGACGATGCGGCCCGACCAGATCGTGCTCGTCAACTTGTGCGGCCGCGGCGACAAGGACATGCTGCACGTCGCAAAGGCGCGCGGCGTCGTCATCGACACGAACGTAATCCTGACGAAGGACGAGGGCTACGCCACGATGGACGGCGCCAACCAAGGCGGCAACTGAGGGGCGGGTGGAACGGGTGGCCAGGAGCGCAGAGAGAGCCAGAGGATGATGCGGTGGGCATGTTGGCCTAATCTTAAGTACTAAGACGAGACCGGGCACGAGCGCACGCGACTGCGCTCTGCGGAGGTACAGGTAGGCGAGTCGAACTTATTTTGTTTTTGAATTTTCGCGCATCGCGCGGGGGAGATCCGGGGCGGAGGAGACACCACATACCTCTGTAAGCTGTATGTCGCACATCCGGCATCATGTGTGTGCACGCGGTTTTGTCTGTATCGTAGAGTAGAAAACAGTGTCACTCATGCAACACACCTGTATGTGTAGAGTCTAGAGCGATAGCCCTCTACTGTAGAGGCCAGTACGTCAGTATCCAGTAAAGCCGTACGCCGGCTCATTACCCGTCGTAGACGTAGAGTCCTAGTGGTGGCCTCTTCCCGCTGTGATCCGTCCCGCGGCGCTCTCAGGCCTCGCTCCGCTCATTGCCAGCCCATCTCTGCGCCGCCGATCTGGCTGCTTCTGACGCGAAACTCTTCGAGGGACCAGTTGAGCTTCTTCTCAAAGTCTGCTCTCGACTGGTAGGCAGGTAGCAGCATCGTACGCGTGCACGTCGATGCGGTTGGAGTATTCCCCACGGGGTCGTGGTAAACGTGGACGATGATGGGCGTCTGCTCGCCTGTGGACGTGGCCTTGACGGAGGAGAGGCCAGTGATGAAGCGGAGGAAGTTCTTGACGCCCGCCGCCTCGAGCTTCATCACAAACTCGCTGAGCCACTCGCGCGTCGCCTCGAAGGCGGCAGTGGAGGTCTTGCCCATCTCGCCCGAGCTCGTCAGCTCGTCCGCATCCTGCGCGCGGAAGCTGAGCTCCTTCAGCAGTTCGTCGGGCGTCGTCACCTCCTGCCCGCGCAGCCGGAGGGCGACCTCGGCGGGAGAGAAGATGCCCAGCTGCGGCGAGAAGAAGTACGCGCCCGAGCTGTCCGTCTCGGGCTGATCCTCGCCTTGGAAGCCCTTCTTGAGGGCGCGCAGGCTACCCTTGCGCACCTCGTACAGGTCGTGCATCGCGACGCGAACAATCTGCGCTCGCTTCGTCTCCTCGGTGAGCGGCTCTCTCCAGCAGGCGCAGCTGCAGGGAGGCGCGCCGGGCGCGTCGCCAGTGCACCCGCACACACACCGCCGGCACAGGTGCCAGAGCCGCAGGTCCGACGCCTCCTCCGCGATGAGCTCAGCAAACTCTTCGATGTCGCGCTCGAGCAGGGGGCGCGTGTACTCGCCGGCAAGGCCCGTCTGCTCGAGCGCTGCCAGCGCCCCGTCCGGTCGCTGCAGGCTCTGGTAGTTGTCCGTGGAGAGAAACTCGATGACGAAGTCTGGGAGCTGGTCGTCGACAAAGTGGCCATCGCCGCGGATGAGCGCGAGGGCGATGAACCGACCAACGAGCGCGAGGAGATCCCGCGAGCCGCAGCTGGAGAGCGGCGCGACAGCCGCTCCGCTAGCGCCACTCGAGGCACCTCCTGCCCTCCGCTGCCGCTTCGCGGGCGGGGCCTCGGAGGCGGGCTCGGCTCCGGCCAGTGCGTCGCGGAGCGGCAGCGCGCAAGTCGCCGTGCCGTGCCGCTCAAAGAGGCGGCTCGTCTCGGGCAGGGAGCGGAGGCTGCGGAAGAACTGGGCGAACATGTCGATCGTCACGCCGCTCTGATCCACGCCTGCCTCCTTCACGTGCATCTCCCCCGTCACAGCCCGGCAGACGGACTCGTCTGCCGCCGCAATCTTGCTGTCCTGGAGCATCTGCACGTGGAACGGCGCCCACATGGCGGAGGAGGGCGACAGCTCGCGCCGGATCGTCTCGAGGACGTCGACCGCCAGCGAGGAGCGGCGCAAGGCGAAGGTGCCAAGGCTCGACCGCTTGTCGTCCTTCCAGAAGGAGCCTCTGTGGCACGAAAACTGCCTGTCGCGATGCGCGTCGAAGGCGACAAAACGCTGCAGCAGCGTCTCGCGCGACGCGGCGGCGAGAGCTCCCTCGGCGCGCGTTCGGGCACGCTCCGACGCGGCGAGCCTCTCCTTGAGCGCGGCGAGCTCAGACGAAGCCGCAACCGCGTCTGCAGAGGGCGGCTGCGGCGCGAAGGTTTGTGGTGCAGGCAAGCACCTGAGCCGTCCGAGGCCGCGGCCGACGAGGCCGACACCGAGCAGGGCGGGAGAAGTAGCCGCGGCTGCGACGACGGGTGGAGGATCAGGCTCGGCGGCCGCCCCGCTCGTCCGCGTCTGCACCGCAGCCGCCTCCCTCGCCGCAGCCGCCGACTGCTTCGCCTTCGCAAGCTGCTGCTTGAGCATCTGATTGCACTGAATCTCGAGGACGAGCCTGTGCCGCAAGTCCTGCTCGTTTGTGATGGAGCCGACTTGCGTGGCGGCGGCCTGAGAGGAATCGCTCAGCAGCGACGTTGGCGCGGCGGCAGCAGCAGAAGAGGAGGCGGCCTCGGGCTGTGAGCCTGCGCCCGCCGTGTGGAGCTGGCTGTCTCTCCTGCACTCAGCCACGGGCACGGACGGATCCGATCGTGCAGCGCCCGGCCTCGAATCGCTTGGCGACCCACTTGACCTGGCTGCCCCGCAGCGCCCAGCCGCCGCAGCGGCGGCCGCGGCAGAGGAGCGCTCAGTCGCAGCGGCCGGCGCGGCGGCCGGCGCGGCAGCAGGCGCGGCCCGCTCTTTCAGGATTGGCATGGCGCTAAGCGCCGCTTGCAGATCGTCGGAGCTGTCGAACGCCAAGTGGAGGTACGCCTTTGGGTTTCCCTTGGCTGCGCCGTGGTCGTAGTGAGCGGAGAGCGCATAATTGGGGACGACGATGGTGCCCTTGATGCTGAGCTTGTGGTTGCCGAGGTGGCGGTCGACGGTGGCGTGGCTGATGGTATTCGCGCTCATCTTCAGGTCCGGAGTACCGTTGTCACTCGGCAGCGACTTGCTCGGCCGCCACTCGAGGCCGCCCTTCGAAAACTTGACCTGGGACACACCGGCGCTCCACAAGCCAATCTCCACTCTGACCTTGAGCGTCGTCGAGTCGCCGGCCGCCCCAGCGCTCCCAGGCTGGCGCGGCTCGCTCGTCGCTGCTGCGCGTGGCGTTTGCGACGCCCGTATGAGGCAAAAGGCCCTTTCCACGTCGTTGCTGGTGGCGGTGAGCGCAGCCGCAAGGCGCGCACCGTCCTCGGCGATGTTGCTGAGGCCTGCGTCTCTCAGCCTCCGACGGAGGCGAATCTCGCCCTGGACCATCGCGAGAGCCGGTTGAGAGGCGCCCAGTGCTGGCCCTGTGATGGGGGCCGGCGGGGGGCGGTGGGGCCTGTCACAGGAGACGGAACACGGAGGAGCTGTATAGGTCACTAGAGACCCACACCATCGCTACATCACCACAACCACCAAGTCGGATACAAGTCGATGACAATGTGCGCGGCAGGAGAAACCCAACAGCATGACAATGTGCGCGGCAGGACAAACCAAACATGAGACACGGTTACACAAGGACGGTCAGGCTACGGTCAGGAAGTAGGTTTGAGTTCACACTCTCAGGGCCCCTGGCGCGAAAAGAATTTTGACCATTTTGGACGCTAGGCGCTAGGCGCTGAGTCCCTGAGATGGCGGCACGCTGGACGCTGGAGCAACACACAGGCAAACACTTTCAAAAGACACTCATCATGTGTTTCCTCGCGCACCCCGTCTCGTTTCCTCTCGGTGTTTCTCTACAGCACCCTCTCGTTTCCTCTCTTGCTCTCTCTCTAGTTTCCGGAACTCCGTGGAAATCATCAACTTTCCGGGCTCTGAGCCGATTTTTGAGGCTGGTTTTGGTAGAGATTGACCGAGAGTTCTTTGTTTTCTGGTTTGGCCGACGACCGAGAAGCGTTTGGGCCGCTAAAATCAGAGAGAAATTTTTGAACCCCAACAAGAAATCACGACTCTCACTGTGATGTGGGCTCGGCAGCTTGTCAGCCCTCAGCCCAAGTCTCTCTTCAAAATCAGCCAAACAAATCGGGAAGTTGTGAGAGAGAGATTTTAGAAAACCAACAAGAAATCACGACTCTCACAGTGATTTGGGCTCGGCAGCTTGTTAGCCCTCAGCCGAAGCTGGGGCCGGTCCCGTAGCCGAGAGAGCCCGCGCCGTTGAGTTCGACGCGGTCGGGGGGCCTTGCGGAGAGGCCAGCGAGGTGGCGATCGCTGTACTTCATGGCGCCCTAAAGTGGGGCTGGCTGACTCGCCAGAGGTCGATACTCTGGACGACCCATAGGATGCCACGAATGCCTGAAGGAGAGGGAGGCGCGAGGCCAGAGGCAGACTCAGCTACTCTCGGGTGATCTCGCTTTGGTGGCCGAAGGACCCGATGGTCCTGTCACATTCGCGTTCCGAGTCGTGGGGGTAGAAGAATTGAGGTAGAATCGAGTCAGCACTTCCTTGTAGTACAGCGGACCGCCAGGCTCGCCGGCAGCAACCGCAGGGAGGCAGCATATGAGGCACCAGTCTTCTGGAGAGCTCAACAGCTGCGGCCGCGATGTCAGAGTTGGCCGCGGTTCGAGCGAGCAGCTTTTGGCTGCGGGATCGAATCGCGGAAGGCTCATGCCCTCGCGGAGCGACGTGGGTCGCGCGGCGCGCGCGTGTGCGAAATGCGACAACAGACGACAGACGCCAGAGGCCTGAGCGCTGAGCGACTGAACGACCGTCGCCGCAATCGACACCGCCGCCATTTTGACGAGCAGCGCGAGCACGCTCGTCGGCGGCCAGCCGTCGCGGGCCGGGCCGAGCCCGGCCTCAACCGGCCGCGCCGCCGCAGCAGGCCTGGAGGCCCACATGGCGGACCAGCTGATACCTTCCCTTATGGCAACAGAGAGAGAGCAGCGGCCCGATCGCGATCATCTCTTCTTGAAGTTGTTACTACTATCTACACACAAACTCACAACCACTCAGTCATCTAGGCTTCCCTCGCATCCCGGTTTCTTTTCCGTTGTGTACCTCTGAAAGAAAGAAAGAAAGAAAGAAAACAGAGGCCGGGCAGTGTACACGTTAGACAGTCGTGTGTGTACGTGACGGGTGGTGTCGTAGTGTCCGTGTCCACTAGCTCCGAGTAGAGGGGGCGTTCTGCAGTTAAGGGGAAACCCGGTACACGGAGCCCTCTCGGAGAACTGTGTTTACTTTAAGGCCCTTGCCCTGCGAACGCGCACCCCCCCCTAGGGGTCAGGGCTCTCTAGCCCGTAGCCCGATACCGATCATCCGGCCCGCTGGGTGCGCTTCTGAGCTCCCCGGCCCTGGATGTGAGGTTAATGACTGCACTCCAAGTGCTCCAAGACCCCAAGGGAGGGAGGGATGGGAGGACGGCACGCCGCCACCACAGAGGGATTTTAAGACTGCCCAGTGTCGTGCGAGCCATGCAGTTCAAATTCTTTCCCTGTGCGCGCCAGTCCCGTGCCTAGATCAGCGTCGTATGCATGTATGTATGTAGTAAGGTGAAGAACAGCCAGGCTCGGACTGGACACCAACGCGGTATGGGTGGACGCGCTGGACAGATGATGACGGCACGCACGAGCGACACACAGACACAAACAGGCTCACAAGACACACAGCCAGCTTGGCTGCCACACACCCTGAGTTGGCGTACACATAACTCAAGGCCACATCCTCCCTGTCGCCCCCCCCAGCACTCCAAGGTGCCAAGAGAACAAACAAGGGCACAACAAACAACAGACGACAGCAAGTAACATGCGAGGCTAGAGCAGGCTTGCTCACCTCTAGCAATCTCGCCGGCCGGCGAGGCACGGACGAGACCGTGTGTGGGGTCTAGTGAGGTGTCTATGGACGCCCTCCTCACAGGCTAGCGGCCTACTGCTAGCCCTATCTCGCACCGCTCACGGGCAGTGACAATTCAATGGGTGAGTGTTTGCGAGCTGAGGCGCGTGGGCTAAATCTAGGCCGCACGTCGTGGCACTATGACGAAGTTAGACGTGCGGCTGCAGCACGCCCGCCGCAGGCTCGGCGGTGCGCGCGTGTTAGCGAGAAAGTTGCGGGGAGAGCCATGCCCGACTTTTTGAAGGTGAGGCCTCTGCGACGAGTGCCAGCCGCGCTGCGGAGCCACACCCTTCGAGCCGCGTCCCGTCGGCACCGTCCCTGAGTGCGTCCCGCCTTGGCGGCACACACTCTCGACGAGGACAGTCCGGCCTACGGGAACGTGTCGCGCGCCGGCGACGGTTGCGGCGTGGTGGTCGTGCAGGTTGCTAAAATTCTTTTCCTTGTTAGTGCCAGTGCGCGCCAGTCCCGTCCCCAGTGTTGTGTGAGCGATTGAAAAATTCTTTTCCTCCGTCGGCTTGAAGGCGCAGCGAACAACGCGACGCCCGAGCCCGGCAATGCGGCCCGCTCAGTCCGACCTCGTCAACATTCTCTCATCGCTGGAGGCGCACTGGCACGTGCTCGAGGCCGAGGTGGTCGAGATCGGCTCAGACATCGAGCACTGCAAGCTCTGCTCGAAAAAGTGCATGCGCGCCCGCCTCCTGCTCCTGCCCCCGCGAATTTAACAGCGCGATTCGGAAACAGGTACGGCGACTGGTTCGACTCGCCGCTTCAGTTTCTGCAGGAACTCCAGCGGACGAAGAAGGAGAAGATGTGAGCCGCAGCCACACACGCACAGATACCGCGAGACACAAAGTGCTAACAGCCGCTCCGTGCCTCGCCGGTCAGGAAGGAAACAGTGGCCAGGGGCGGGGCTTGCATTTTTGCCGTCGCCAGTCGCCCCCCCCAAACGCTACAGCGGGGGCGGCGGCGGCGGCGGGGGCGGCGGGGCGGCGGCGGCGGCGCGACGGGGTGGGTAGGGGGGTGGGGAGCCGCTGCCGTGTGCGCTGCGCGTGCGCGCACCGCACACCATACGGCGGGAAACAGACGGCGAAGGGGGGCGCGGCGGCAGCGGCGCAGCGCGCGCGCGGCGCGCGCGACGGAGGGGCGGAGCAGCGACCGCTGGCGCGGTCGCTGCTCCGTCTGTCCCGGAGCGCCGTCTGCGCGGGGTGCGCGTCAGGAGAGGGGGCAAGCGTGGCGGCGCGGGACGCGCGGCGGCGGCGGCGAGCTGCCGAGCGCTCCGTGCGCGGTGGGGCGGCCGGGCGAGGGCGCGGCGGGTGACGGGGAAAGGGAGCAGCCGGGCGACGAGAGGTAGGAGGTGCTCGCCGCGAGCGCTCCCGCGCCTGCGGAGGGGCAAGGCCTGAGGGCGGGCGGGCGGGCGGGCGGGCGCGGGCGGGGGGGGGGGATAAACGCTGCGCCGCCCCCGCACCAGCGACACCGGCCGCGGCTCGCCTCCACGCGCCGGCTCGGAAGAGGGGCTGTCGGCGGCGCAGCAGAGCGGCTCGCCTCGGCGCTCGAGCCGCCAACAGCCCCACTCCTCGACGTGACGGCCGTTCCCAGGGCCGTCCGGTGCGCGCCCGACCCACGCCCCCTCTCGCACCCCTCCGACCCCCCCTGCGCGGCGCACCTATCCGCTGTGCGCCGGCTCGAACGCCTATCGCCAAATCGCGACGTTTGAGCGCAGCGCACGCGTCCCACACGTCACGCGCGCGCAGGAGAGCTTGCGGCACCGCGGTAGCGTGTACTCACCGAGGGCATCGCGCCGAAAACCCCGCGCATTCCGCCCCAGCAGAGGCTGCAGCCTCTGCACAAGCTACACCACTGTAACAATGGTGAGTACTTGGGGTTGAGTGGGCTTGCTTGCTCCCTAAGCCGGGAGCAAAAATGCAAGAATTCTCGTGGCGATGGAGTCCTTCAACAATAACCTGCAGGGCGGCCAACACACTGGGGGACCGCAGTATCGCCGCCCAGCTCACTCACCGGATCCTCTTCCCGCAGGCGGCAGGAAACTCGTGCGAACGCTCGAACGGACCGCGCCCGTCGCTGTGCTGCACGCGCCGGCCAAGCCTGTGACACTGCTCCGAGACTCCCGCGGGCGAGAACGTAGGGCGGCTGCGGGGCGGGGCTGCGCTTTCACCTTTCGGTAGCGGCAGCGTCCAGCGAGGCGCCAGTGCGGACACAGGCCACTCGTGACTCGATCACATAGTCGAGCATCCTCGCTCACGCCTCACGCCCGCACGCGGCCGCGCGGTCGCTCAGCTCTCTGTGGCTGTGCGCGGAGTTTCCAATTCTGCCGTCTCTTTCAGCAAAGTGTTGATTAGTGGTAAAAAGCGGCGTGGTCTCCAGAGGTCTGCCTTTTCAGCGTGCATTTTCTCTCCGAACACGCGCCGGATGCGGCGGATCGGCCCTCAGGCTCTCTTTCCACCCAGCAGCAGCACTCGCGAGGCCCGTGTAGTCGCCGGCACACGCGTAGCTCCTCGGCGGCGCCTGGGTCGGGGTGGAGATGCCGGTGAGCTGCAGGCGCACGAAGGCGCCGGTGAAGGGTCGGGCTGGGGGCCTCTGCACCGTCCGCGGCCGCGGCTCCCCCGCAGCCGGAGGCCGGCCGGCGAGGCTGAGCAGCCCGCGCGCGCGGAGGCGGCGCAGCCCGTCCCTCTCATCCTCCGAGAGGAGGAGCGAGTGGGTGCGCGCAGAGGGAGGCGTGCCGTCCCAGCCGCACGCGCCCAAGTGCGATGCGCGCAGACTCACCCCCGCCTCGGCGCAGATGCCGCTGCCGGTCCTCACCGGCGACAGCACCCGCGCCGCGAGAACCTGCCGGAACTCGTCCGCCGAGACGAATGCGACGTGGCGGCGCTGAGCCCTCAGCGGTGTGCTCCTCGCTGCTAGCTCGGGGCGGGCTTTTTGCTGCGGCCGGAGCGCGAACGACGCGTCGGAGGCGGAGGTGGCGGCGATGACGGCGGCGCTGGTGGCAGCGTCGGCGCAGCCCGCCGCCGCAGCTCCCCTCTGCTGACATTTACGAGGCTTGGTGCTCATCTTCGTCGGCGGGAGAGGGGCAGCCTTTGTCGGTGCGACAAACTCGCTCTGTGGGCAGGCGGGCGACTCGATGCGGTGATTTCGGGCATAGGTTGACGTGACCGAGGCGCGGGACCGCTCGGCGAGCAGCGCCTCTATGTACTGATGCCTGGCGCCAGACAAGAGCTGGCCAGAGGGCGGCGGCGGCGGCAGCGACTCTCGGGACCGCGGCTGCGGCGAGTGCGGAGGCGGCAGCGGCCGTGGAGGGGACGGCTTGCGCTGCTGCGGTGGCGAGTGCGGCTCGAGTAGCGGCGACTGGCGCGGTGGCGGTAACGTGCCAGCCATGAGCGCCAATCGTCGCTGCCAGCGCGTGTGTCGCTCCTCGAGGTCGGCCAACGAGTCGGCTAGCACTCGAGTTGCTGCCGGCATACTGACACCCTGACTGCGGATCCGTACAGCCGCTCATCCACCGGCGCCCGTGTGGTTCGGGCTCAATGCGGGTAAGGTCTCAGGTGTGTAGGGGATTTACGCCGCGCTGTAGAGCTGTAGAGATGTCTTAATTAGGTTTGTTGTTGGCAAATCAAGACACAGAGCTCACACAGAATCACAGTGGGAGGAAAGCGGCGAGTCGCAATTCCTGGGGTCCTTGTGTAGAGCGCTGTAGAGCTGTAGAGCTCTACATCCGCCGCGTGACGAGGCGCTTGCGTTGTAGAGCGATGTAGAGGCGCTCTTTAACGTGAAACCTCTCTCTCTCTGGCTCTTTTCTCCCAGTAAGCTAAGAGTACAACAAACTCTGCATCCTAAGCAAGCGGCGAACGAGGCACGGTCGCTCTCCGACATGAGGCGCGTTGCACTTGCCAGAGCCAGTGCTGCCCTGGCCTTCTGTCTGCCCGCCCAATGGGTGGCAGGTGCCTCTGCTGCTGTGGCATGCCTCACGGCTGCGACTGGCCGGCGCCTCGGCGCGTCAGCTCGGCTCGGCGTAGCGATCGTGGCCAGCACAACTCGCCTGGACTCAACGCTCAGCACCGTCCTCGCAGCCGACAGTCCACCGCCTGCTAAAGAAGCACTGCGACGAATGCGGCACCGGCGACGCATGGCAGGCTGGTCATGACGCAGTCATAGGGTGTTGTGTGCTGTCAGAGTGACTCTCTGTGTGTCAGGGATAGTCAGGGCCGTCCATCAGAGCTCCAGTAAGCTCGGAGACACCCCATTAGTGCGACTCGACCTCTTTGAGTCACTGCCTTCCCGGCGGTTTGGCTGTAGAGCCTCTACAACAAACTCTCTACAGCAAAATCGCGCTCTACATCGCTCTACAACGGAGGCGCTTCGTCCCGCGGCGGATGTAGAGCTCTACAGCTCTACAGCGCTCTACACTCTACATCCTCTACACCCTCCCTCAGGGTAAGGTATTTCGCGGCACAGCAGGCCAGAAGTAGACCTCGCCAGGCTCCAGCGGCGATGGATGCCCGAGGCGTAGAAGGGGTATGTAGCTCATACGTACATTCCCGGAGGAGGAAGGAAGGACTCTAGCCGGTACCTCTAGGGTTTGCGATGTCATCCGATGAGGAGCGACTCCGAACGAACGAAGGGTTTCTCTCTCGGGGTTAGTGCACCAGTACCGCCGAAACGCAAGAGCACTGCGACGGATCGGGCTCATGGTTACTAGCATCCCACCTCGGAGGACCGATCTTCTGGCCGAGCGAGGTTGCTGCGGAGCATGAGATTATTGAAGAGCTCGAGTTGAAGAGACAAATGAATGAAGGCCGAAGACGCCTTGCGAGGCGGCCAGGAGACTGTTGAGCACTTGAGCACTGGATAGGGTCGATTCCGCGTGGTACGGGACCCAGGTGCCAGGACTTTTCAGTATCGTATTGTGCCATCCATAGGATAAATTTCAGATTACCCGCTTTTTGAGATTCGCGTCGCAGATCACCCGGCGTTTTTCAGATCACCCGGCGTGAGCGATTTCAGATCACCCGGTGCGGCGAAAAATGTCGTTTCCAGGTTACCCAACACGCGGCGAAATCGTCAGGGCACAGGGGCGGCGACCCCCCCATCTACAGATGATATGCGCATCCTAGATGCCAAACGCCATCTAGGATGCGTTTTTCATCTAAGGACACCGGGTGTCTCCACTATGATTGGGTTCTCCAAGAAGATTTGATCATCTTTACCTTCTTTAGATGGTGCCCCGCGTCTTTTGATCGCGTGATACAATACTGCAGTCGTCTTCAGACGCACAAGTGTGCCGAGATGATACCTCATCTTGGGTTAGTCCATGCATCCCAGGATAGAATGTGGCATCTGAGGATGCGCACAATGCATCTCAGGAACATGAGCGCGTTGTCGCGGATTTTTTTCAATATTTTCGATCGACAGTGTCGGAGTTTTTTTGCCGAACCCAGAACCCGAAATAAAAACCAGTCTTACATATAGGCAACCGCAACCGTCCATGTCATGTAGTAAAGTCAGCATTAGCACCAGGGCTAAGTGCCCCCCACCATCACTCACTGGCTCCCAGTTCCATCACCATCAGTAGTTATTCCACAGACGACAGAGCAGTTAGTCACATCTCACTTACGACTTCCCTGATTTGCTGGCCGGCGGTGGCGCCCGGCGGCACCGTCATCTGAATCTGCTGCCCGTCCGGAAGCTGCGCCACGAAGGCGTCGCCGGCGGAGAGCCCCGCCGGAACGGCGGCCTGCATCTCCGTCGACCGTGCGTTTAGATTGTGGGCGTCGCGCTGTTGACCAGATGTGGGGATGAGCT